ATATATGTCAAATGGCCTTCTCCCCTTATGTTGCTATATTTTTCATTAACGTTCAAACCTTGTTTACAGATGCTTACATTGGAATAAAGTGTATAATGTAAAAACTGCGAAGTACCTACTGGACAGAAATATGAATGATTAGGGAGACTTATAAAAATATGTAAAATATGAAAAATATTACCAAATGATGATTTATTTATGGTTTCATTGAAGGCTCAGGACTTTAGACTAAATGTTATGAATTACGTACCATGAACGGCGAACAGCAACATCAACAATTTCAGACGTAGTAATGTTCTAGCCATCTTCTTGTCTGTGGTATGTAGTGTTTTTATGGTTCGTTTACCGTTCCAGAGGCCGCATAGCCGTCTACCTCGGAGCTGGAAAATAGAAAATAACAAAAAGAGTTCCACGATCTCATACCTTCGACAGATAATGTTAACCAATCCTATTGACGAATCATAAAATTTTAATCATTGATTTCGCAAATAATATCCTCATTTGCATGCAAAGAAAGACTAGTCTAGCATGCCAAAAACAGTTACTCAAGCAACTGGATATGATTTTGAAAACGTCAGACGTTTCAGCTAGTATCCACTAGCTTTCGTCAGTGACTGAGAGACCAGAGGGGAAAGCAGGTTTATATACACAACATGTTGATTGATATGCAAATAAAGTGAAGACAATTTTTTTGGAAGTCGAAAAAGGAACAAAAGTCAGACAAGTCAAGACAAGATGATGCAAATTAGTCTGAAAGCTCCTGTTATACAGGACAGGAGCTTAAGTGTTGTCTGTCCTCGGGTCTGGGAGTGCCAAATCCCAAGTGCCGGAAAGATCGACCCGTAGCCCCCCTTCCCTGTTGAGGGTGGGGTTGTACAGAATAGTGCCGACTTTGTCAACAAAATCAAAGACATTCATGTAGAGGATGATGAAACCATCACTTCGTATGACGTGTGCTCACTTTTCACCTCCATACCACCCAAGGAAGCAGTGTCAGTAGTCAAGGAAGCCTTGGAAGCCGATGATACACTTGCAGATAGAACCAACCTATCCGTTGACCAAGTTTGTGAGCTACTAGAACTCTGCTTAGGATGCACATACTTTACCTACAAAGGACAGTTCTACCAAAAAATTCACGGCTGTGCTATGGGATCACCAGTCTCACCAATTGTTGTAAACTTGTACATGGAGAAGTTTGAAAACAAAGCCCTCAGCACTTTCAATGACACTCCCCCGGCCAACTGGTTTCGATATGTAGATGACACTTGGTGCAGATTGAAAAAGAGGGTAGCTGCTGACTTTTTTGACCACATCAACCAGATAGATGACAACATCAAGTTCACACAGGAGCCAAGCCATGACAACATGCTCCCTTTCCTAGACACCAAAACTATCGTAGAGGAAGATGGTAACCTTCGTTTCGAAGTGTACAGGAAACCAACCCACACTGATCAGTACCTGGCTTTTGATTCCCACCACCCTTTGGAACACAAACTAGCAGTGATCAAAACTCTCTTCCATCGTGCAGACAACATTGTCACTTCAGACCAAGCCAAAACGGACGAACAAAGACACCTCCGAGGTGCCCTGGCTAAATGTGGCTACCAAAACTGGACTTTCAACAAAGCGCTCAAACCTTCAGATCAGTCTAAGAAAACCCAGAAGTGCAAACCATTGACCAACAAAAACAAGGCCAACATCACTATTCCGTATGTCCAAGGAGTATCTGAGAAACTCCGACGGATCTTCCAAAACTTCAACATAGCCACTAACTTCAAACCTCACTCAACCCTCAGACAAAGACTGGTACACCCTAAGGACCGACCTCACAAGGGTACCAAGGCGAATGTTATTTACAGACTCAAATGTGAGGAGCCCAATTGTAACAACACCTACATCGGAGAGACAAGTCGACCGCTTAAAGTAAGGTACAAAGAACATTGCCGACCTAGTGCCAACGGCTACTCCTCAGCTATTTTCCACCACCTACAACACAACCAGGGTCACTCTTTCAAACTCGAGTCCACGGATGTCTTAGACCGCGAAACACGCTGGTGGGAACGGGGTGTTAAAGAGGCAATATATGAAAGAATGTACAACCCCACCCTCAACAGGGAAGGGGGGCTACGGGTCGATCTTTCCGGCACTTGGGATTTGGCACTCCCAGACCCGAGGACAGACAACACTTAAGCTCCTGTCCTGTATAACAGGAGCTTTCAGACTAATTTGCATCATCTTGTCTTGACTTGTCTGACTTTTGTTCCTTTTTCGACTTCCAAAAAAATTGTCTTCACTTTATTTGCATATCAATCAACAGGTTGTGTATATAAACCTGCTTTCCCCTCTGGTCTCTCAGTCACTGACGAAAGCTAGTGGATACTAGCTGAAACGTCTGACGTTTTCAAAACCATATCCAGTTGCTTGAGTAACTGTTTTTGGCATATCGTATTACCTGGATGTCTAACCTTCATCGACTAGTCTAGCACTATCTCATACAATATGCAAATGAGGTCATAATTTAGATAAATTTTCTTTATTGATGCTCACTTTCACTTAAATTCCAAATGCGGTATGTATGAAATTCCCAGCAACTACAACTATAAAATTATAGCAATTTCCAATTAATTATGCAAATTAGGTCTTCATTTACATAATCTATTTCCTCAGATTTTTTTCTCGTTCTTAATTACATGTTACAAGTGTTTCATAGTCTTATTATCGAACGAAGAAGATTTATAGTTTTTTCATTCATTATGCAATTTAGGTCCTGAATTGCGTAATTCTCATCTGATTATGTCAAGCATCCCTTTAGCTACCCACACACCGAAAAACAATGCAATCCGTGAAGCAGAATTCTTGAGCTATTCTTCGAGGATTTTTCAACAAACGCTCCTGTAGTTCCAGAACAAACTGCTAGGGAGCAAAACTCAAGTGTCTTCTTCCCTTCTCCAAGAGCTTTCTACCAACCAAAATTCGTGACCCTAGCATGTCCAGATAGCGAGATATCAAAACAACCGAAAGCTCTGCTGAAGTACCAATAAAAGTTGCCAGGGGGGGGGGCAAAAATTTCATCATTTCTAGGTCTCATCAATACCTACCCACCTACTAAGTTTTATGGCAATGCATATTAAGCTTCGTGAGTTATGCTGTTCACAACCAGTGCAGCACTGTACTAGGTGGTACACCAATACTGGTGTGCGCCAAGGAAGCGTCCTTTCTCCACTCCTCTTCATTATTTACTTTAACCATACAATCCAGGTCATAGAAAGAAAGGACTTTGAAATAGAACGATTTGGATATGCGGATGACGTCGCACAGACTGGGAATAGCATACGGAAACTACAAAGAGTTATGACCCAGTGGGATCAAGAACTGTCTAGAGCGAGCTTGAAACTAAGTTATGAGAAAACAGAGTATATGAGAGTGGGCCGAAAACAAAGTAAGGGCTCCATATCGGTCAACAACCAAACTCTCAAACGAACAACTAGCTTCAACTACCTAGGCAGTAAAATGACCTCCGATAATATGACTGGAGAGGAGATTAACAACAGGATCACCAAATTCACTAAGAACTTATGTGCCCTTTACCCTCTACTGAAAGAAAAATGCATACCCAGAGACGTTAAAACCTGTATTTATACTACAATATTGAGACCTGTATTGTTATACGGAAGCGAAATCTGGACTCTAACTCAAAACCTAATACAAGCTACTGAAATGCGAGTGTTACGACTCATCTATGGTGTCACAAAAAGAGACAAAATCTGGAATGGCATCATCCGTGGAGCACTTTCAGTTGAGTCAGTACTCTCCATTGTGGAAAGAAACCAACTGAGATGGTTTGGACACCTACACAGGATGCCGGAAGATAGGGATGTGAAGAGAATCTTTAATTGGAAACCCAAAAAGAAAAGACCAGCCGGCAGGCCAAGAAAAAGATGGTTGGACCAGATCATTGAAATCACCAGAAGAGAAGAGCCAGACTTCCGAGTAGTTAAAGAAATAGCTGAAGATAGAACAGAGTGGAAAAGACTGACCAAGAGGCTGACAACTTACAGGCCTAAGGCCTAAAGGCGTCAGGGTGAGAAGGTGAGACAAACAGACAGACAGACAGACAAACAGACAAACAAACGGGCAGACGGACAACCACTACTGAAAACATAACCTCCTTGGCGAAGGTAAGTAGAAAGCTTCTTCGCTTTAAATCTTTCAAAACTAAATGCGTCAAATGATTCCGCGTCTGTCTCTGAGTTGTTAAATAACAAACAACTTTCCGTAGCTATTGCTAATGAAAAGAAGAGTTCCATGATCTCATACCTTCGCCAAATTGTATTAATCCCTCCGGTTGACGAATTATACAATTTTAATCATTGATTTCGCAAAAAGGAACCTCATTTGCATGATTACATCAGTCGATCTTATTCTCCACCCGATAACAGCCTTATCTTAACAAAAAAGGCTATTCTAGCACTTCCTAATAAATTATGCAAATGAGGTCTTAATCTGAATATTATGATTTTTTATTAATGTTCACCTTCACTTAACTTCTAATTGGCAAGTATGAAATTCCAAGCAATTACAAGTATGAAATTATAACAATTTCTAATTAATTATATGCAAATTAGGTCTTTATTTACATAATCTATATCCTAAGATGTTCTTTTTTGTCACAAGTGTTTCATAGTCCTATTATCGAACGAAGCAGATTTATAGAACTTT